AGATACTGAATAGAGGGGGTGTGGGACCACAGGGGTTCAGGGGTAGAGGGTTTTATCAGATAAGAGGGCGTCACAGAAACCATTCAGTAGTTTAACTAAGTGAGGGGACTGATTGTTTAAGCGTGTAACTTGAAAGCTCAAAGTAGTATGGGGTATTTGAACCGTATTTCCCAGGGAACAATGTAGCAGAAGGCCCGCAACTATGACTCTCACTGTTACATGCTCTAAAAAATGTATGATGGGACGCTGGACCCGCTTTCCAGCAACTGTTGCTCCCCACTATAAAAAAAAAAGAAAAAAAGAAAAAAAGAAAAAGGGAATTGGCTGCCCTGTTGAGTGGCTGTCCTTATCTCATTCTCATGGTTTTCATCATCAGGCAAAGTCCGTGGCCTGATCCCACATGCCTTGTGCTCATTCAGTCCAGTCCAGTCCTGCCCGGCACCACTGTCGGTACTAGTCCAGTCCAGTCCAGTCCGGTCCTTCCGCTGGGGGTATACCCCAGCTGCAGTCTGTATGGTCATTCATTTTTCATTTGCACAGTTTGGAGTTTGGGGTACGTGCGTGTTGAGTCTGCGTCAGAGCTGCGCTGTCCCTTCCAGCGCCATCTCCATCTCCCTCATCCTCACCCCCTTCGTCTTGATCCTGACCGACCGCCATCCCGACTGGTCCGTCACAGCAGTGAAATGTGATACTCAATCTGAATTGGAAATCCCTGAGCCATCTATACCTGGAACACACGTGGCAGGAGCCTAGCAAATGAATATCTTGGCCCTCAAAACAATGAAGAGTGCAGCGAAATGGGATATTTGAATTGGAGAAATCCGTGAGCCATAGACACCTTGAAGCACATAGCACCCAAGTTTTCTGCTCAACGCATCCTGCCTCAGCATCACCAGATTGGAAAAAGGGGTAACTAGGGCGCAGTCACGAAAGCAGTTTGTAAATGCAGTTCCAACTGCTTTTTGGAGTCCAGTAGGGTCCCAAGTTTAAAATGCAGTAGAAACTCTTGACATGCAGAAAAGTCGCAAAGCGGAGCTTGCAACTGCAGTGCAGTCCGGCATGCGGCCTTTCTTTGTCTTTTTTTTTTCTTTTTTTTCTTTTTTTTCTTTTTTGTCTTTTTTTTTTTGTTTTTTGTTTTTTGTTGTTGTAATCTCGGATATGGCCGTCACGGCCGTGGCCCAGCCACGCGACGAGATGCTCTCTGTTTCTTTTTTTTTTAGTAATCTCGCGTGTGGCCTAGGCATCTTGGCTGTGGCCCAGCCACCCGACGGGGCCGAGATTTAATGAAAAAAAGAAAAGAAAACAGAGTGCCTTGCTCTGCTACTCTTGACATGCACAAAAGACAAAAATCATGGCGCTGTACCTGTCCATGTTCTAGCGGAAGATTCACTCTTGTTTTGCACATTTCTAGAGTAGTGGAACCCCCGTCTAGCGGAAGATTCACTCTCTTTTTGCACATTTCGAGAGTAGTGGAGGCCCCGAGTAGTGGAGAGAGGGGGGCTCCACTACTCTCGAAATGTGCAAAACAAGAGTGAATCTGCCACTAGAACATGGAAAGATGCACCTCCATGATTTTTGTCTTTTGTGCATGTAGAGAGTAGAGAGAGAAGAGAGAGAGAGGAGAGTCACAGAGAGAGAGAGAGAGAGAGAGGGAGAGAAAGTAGGCAGATGGGAGTCGAGTGCTTACCTGTTGGGAATATTGGATAGGTGGAGCGGTGCAGTCCGCTGGTTACCTGGAGGGAGATCCGACTACCGATGTATGTGGAGTAGTGGATAGGACGTGTGACCCTTCGGCGCCGTTGATGAGAACGGTGATCAGTGGTGTTGTTTTTCTTGGTTTTCGGTGTGGGGAAACATATGACTTTTGGGGGGCTCCCATTGGGTGGCATTTCTTTTGCTTTTGTTGTGGTGCTCCTCTGGGGGTCATGAACGTGCGTGAAAATCATACCAACTTTTTTTGGTTGGATTTTCACACACCTTCCACTTCCGTTTGCGTCTTTGCCCATGCTTTCAAAAGACGCCGAAAATGAAAATGTTCCCCTTTTCTCATCATGAAGGGATGTCAGTTGATGTCAGAGTCTTCCACAACTTGTCTGTCATTCCAAGCCTCTCGT